GTCAGTCAGTGGTGCAAGAATAGTTTTTGGCCAAGAGTCGCTCGGTTGGTTGGTCGACCGATTTTAAAACTGAAAAGAAAACAAAAGCAACAGCAGCAAATTTTATTTTCAATTGGATGGCTAAGTTAGTTGTTGGACAAGTTGATTCCCCCAGCCATGATTGTTGTTGTTGTTGTAGCTGTGTATATGGCTGGTTGGCTGGCTGACGGGCTGTTAGTAGGCATACCTAGCCCCAGCTAACAAGCCTGCACTTGGCTGGCTATGATGGTGGTAGATTTGTGTTGTGGTTATTTATCCATTTGCTTTGCTTTTGTTGCTGTTGCTGTAGCTCTTGTCTTCTTTCGTTTCGTTGTTTTGTGCCTTGGCAATTTTCATTGACAACAACCAGTCCAAAGTACGACGACGATGCGATGAGTTTTGTAGTTCAAGAAGATTGGTAGGTAGGCAAAACAAAAGAACAACAACAACAACAACAAAAACAAAAAAGTTATTTAAAAATGTGCAACTTGACTTTTGTTCGTTGAAATCCTTTCAAGGACTGACTGACAAACTGGATTTCATGCAAAGACAATGTGCAATTTAAACATGAATAGGTTATTGTTGTTGATATATATTTTTTTTTTTTTGTGGGATTTGGGAATAAGAAATGTAATTTTTATGTATTTTTATATTGTTAAGCCAAATGACAAAAAAATAAGCATCTTTTGAAGGAAATAATCTAAAAAATGGCCTAAACAGAGTTATGTTATACCTACATTAAAAAATTTATTAAAACCCCCAAAAATGCTATATCATTGACTAGGGAAGGCTTTCTCAGTAAAATAGAAGTTTCCTTTTTCAATACAAATTTTCCCTGAAAACTACTTAAATATCTTTTAAAAAATAATCAAACTCCCCATCAATGCGTTTTAAACCCCTCTAATCGGATTGATAGACATAAAATTAACACATGCTTTATTGTCGTCTAACAGACACCACCCACAAATTGCCTCCCTCTCTCACCTGCTCACACACATGCACTCTTTTTGCAGTACTCATTGTCTCTCCCTCTTTGATTTTGATGGGCTCTATCAATCAATTTGAAAACCCCCAAACAAAAAAAAAAACAAAAACACAACGGCAGTGTATGTTTTTGTTGTCGTTTTGCTTTTTTGTGTCTTCTCTCTCGGCTACCTTGACCGATTATCATGTTTATCGTTGGCTTTCGTGTATGTCAGCCAAACAAGGCATAGGCAGACATCCCAGTAAACAATTTTTTCCGACTGCTCTGATTTTAGATTTTTTTCCGAAATTTCTGACGTTTTTTTCAGAAATTTCTGATAGAAATTGGTCCGATTTTCTAAACGTTTTTTTTTAGAATTTCTGCACATTTTCCTGTGTTTTTAAGCGAAAAAAAACTCGAAAAATGTACAAACGGAGAGAGTAGATTGTCTATTGCTCTGGCATATTCTCTCCCACATGTAAACGGATGGTGGTGGTTTGACACATTCTCTCCCATAGTAGTTGTTGTTGTGATCATTCATTTCAAGATCTCAACAACAACAAAGCAAAAATGCTATTTGTTATTGTTATTGTGAACTGTTAGATTTTCCGTTGTAAAAATGTGCGTTTTGTTGTTGTTGTGAATCAGCCTCTTTCTCTTTCGTTCCCAAAAAAATATGATGGACAAAAATTGCAAAAACAACTACATACCGGTTTTCTGTGTGCACTGCTTTTTATTTTTAGTTCTTGTTTAGCAGTTGAAACAGAAACGTGCTACTGTATGTTATGTTCCTAATAAAAACAATATTTATAATGTAAATGTATTATAGATGTAATATTTAAACTACATTTTTACGAAACCCGAAATAAATTGTTTGTTTTTTAAATAAATATGTGTTTTTTTTTTTTCATTTTTAAGTGGTGTGACGATTTTTTCGATATTTCTTCCGAATTCTGAACGATTTCTTTCAGAAAATCGGAACTTTCTCCCGAATTCTGAGCGTTTTTTTTTCAGAAAATCTGAATTTTATTCCGAATTTTCTTTCGAATTCTGACCGATTTCTTTCAGAAAATCTGAATATTTCGCCGAATTTCCAGACGAATTCTGCCCGATTTCTTTCAGAAATTCGGAGTTGTCCTCCGAATCTTTTCCGAAAATCTAATTTTTTCTCCTATTTTTTCAGAAAATCTTTCCGAATTCGGTGACCACGTCCATACAACTTTCGTACCGAAATCGGAAGGAATTCGGAATCAGAATCGGACATTTTTTCAGAGATTCTGACAGAAATCGGACCGAATTCGGCAAAAATTGTTTACTGGGATATTCCACCACCGCCACCAGCACCGTACAAATAACAACAAACATACACGCACGCACGCACGCATGCAACACACAACATTCTCTCTTGTGTTTAAATTATGCAGGGACAAGAAAATCATGTTCCCAGTATGTGGTGTTGTTGTTGTTTTTATTTTTGTTGCTGTTGCATTGTAATTTGTATTTTTCAAGAACTCCCTTTTTTGCAATTTTTCCTAGTTGTTGTTATTGTTTTTGTTTTTTTCCTACCCCACCATGGATTGGGTTGTGTTATCAGTCTACTTGTCTGGCTCGGTTGGGAAAAAGAGTTACAAAGAAGAGGGAAAGAAAGAACGAATGAAAGAAAAACAACAACAACATAACCAACCATGCTAAATGTTTGTGTGTTGCTGTATTTTCCCTTCGTTTTTGCATACATGCGTGAATTATTTTCTTTCTCTCCTTTTATGCCTATCGGCAGTGATGTCAATGCGGCGGGAATAAAAAAGCGCAAAAAGTGATTTCTAAGAAAATCACAAAATTAAGTGTAGTAAGTAAGGTATTTAATAAGATTTTAATAAAACAATAATTATACAGGGGCTACAATTACAATATATGAAAGCGCTAGGGTTTTCATTAATCTAGGAATATCAAAAGGCTATACTTTCTCGATTGGCATTTGATACTAAGGCGATGTAGTCTCTTTGACTTCCGTCTGTTTTTCGAGATATTTTGACGATTTAAGCTAAATTTTCCAATGGAATTCCGAATATATAATAAACGCCGTGGGGGAAAATTGTTCACAAAAATTTCGCCACGGCTGAACTTTGAACAAAATCACGGCAGCCAGGTCAGGTTTTTTTCATATTGAGCAACTGACAAAACAATTGAATTGAGCACATAAGAAGTATCAAAAGTTAGCTATTAATAAAGAGAAAGACAGGATAAGATGAAAAAACTGCAACCAACTTCAGAATGCTGTCATTTCTAAGCCACTCATCCGACAACTGTATTCCAGTGACAGCTCATTATATTGTTTACAGGCGTACCGAAAGCATTTTGGTGAGAATTTTCCAGAAAAAGTTATTCGGGATGGAATTCAAGCGGGATAGTGTGATTTCTTTATATTTGGCTGGAAAACCACAAGTGACTATTGTTAGAGCACTCCAGCAATTAAAATGTGAATAAATCTTTGTTCTTTACCGGGATACTGGTAGGGTAGCCCGACGTCAAGGAAGTGGACAGAAGAATACAGAAACATCAGCAGAAATGGTTCGAAAAGTAAAGAAGCGACTTAATCGAAACCCGCGTCACAGTGGCCGAAAAATGGTTTGTGAGCCGAACATATCGCAATATTCCAATTGGCAAATATTGAAAAATTAGCTCGGGGTAAAGCCATTGGAATTCCAAAAAGTGCAAGAACTTACACCGCAACAGAAAGAAAATTGACTCAAGAGTCTTGGCCGAAAGTGGTGAACTGCCGAAGTTGGTTTTCTCCGATGAGAAAACATTCGTTGTCCAGCAGTTTGTAAATAAACAAAATGATCCCCGCGTGTTTACTTGCGAAAGAGGTCAGCTGAAAATGTGCACCTTCGGTTGGCCACCAGAACTCAAGCGCCTGCCATGGTGATGGCATAACAGCCAATGGTCGCTCTCCGCTCGTATAAATCTACCGTGGCATCAGAATAAATGCCGAATATTATCGCGAAAATATCCTGGAGGCCTTGGGCACGCAAACGTTTTGGCCGCAGAACTTGGACATTCCAACAGGACTCAGCACCATCGAACTCAGCAGGCGCCACCCAAGAATGGTTACAAAATCAGGTTCCTCGCTTCATTTCCAGCGCACAATGGCCACCAAAATCTCCGGATACCAATCCGTTGGACTTATGTGTCTGGAGTATTTTGGAAAGCAAGGTTGGCGTTAAAAGATATCAAAGTCTCGATCACCTCAAACAAGCGCTTCGCCATGAATGGGCCAAAATACCGCAGAGGAACATTCGGGCAGCGTGTGACGGTTTCATTGGCCGTTTGAAGGCCTTAATTCGTGTCAAAGCTGACCAATTCGAAGAAATCTAAACTTATTTTAAAATTGGATGCTATTTCCGACATTTTTTGCTTTCATTCAATAAAATTTAAAAAAAAAAAATTATGGCGTTACTTTGTTGCAGTTTTTTATCTCTCCCTTAATTATAGTCTCAACTTGGCTATTATTTTGCTATTTACAATAATAAATTATTCTGAAGAGAATGTGCTTGTGCGGCATATAAATTTTATGTGTTTGATTTCTCTTTCGAGACGAGCTTAATGATCTGAAAATTTTTTAATGTTTTCTTCATTTTGTTGGATTTTTCACATAAAATATTAATTAATTGACAATAATTCGATCCCTTTGTAACATACTAAACAGTCCTGTCAGTTTTATTTAATTTTTATTTTCGTGACTATTAAAACCTAATGCATACCACACTTCTGTTTTTTTTCCTTTAAAAATGCTTAATCGTCAAATGCAGTAAAAAAACACCAAATAGACAACACTGTTCACTCCTCTTGTTCTATGCATTTTGAATGGGGTATTTTAGTTAGGCCTCTGCCTAGCTCAATTTTAGTAGTTTTATTGAAGTTTTGACTTTGGGCTATGGGATGTGGGCTTTAACTGAGCACAAAAGGTCAGAAGAGCGTTTTTTATAGAATTTGCATAAATGTGGCAGACAGTACTTACCTTTAGCAAAAAGAAACAAAAAACGGCACGAGGAAGAACGAACGAAATATCACATGTGATAAATGAATGATGCTGCTGCTGTTTGGTGTAGTTTTATTAGAATAAGAAGATTCTGGTGTTCTGGCTGTATTTTGCACTTTGTAACTATTTGTTGTTGCACATACACCTGCTGTGGGTCATCAGCAAAGAATTTAATAATTTTTTATATTTCTATTTAAACTTAGCTATTTGTTTTTATTTTTTTTTTCTTACAAAATAGCTGTAAGTAACACTTTGTTTTTTTTTTTTGTTATTTCTTTATTAACTTATTCCTTAGCTAGATATTTTATTGCATTTTTTTTCTATTGGCAGAGTATTGCCATGCAAGGGTTTTCTACACTCATATTTCAGCTGCCGCGGACACTAACATACAAAGAGTGCTTCCATATTTCCATTAGATTATAATTTTATTATTTTCAATATTAATTTTACTATTTTTGCAGCATAAATTCCTCAAATTGTCAATGTTTATTAATTAAAAGAAAACAGCACTGCAGTCCAATAGGGCTGGCCGCCACGAATGGAGTTTGGCAAACGCCGTTGCTTTGCAAAACAAAACACTGAGAACGACGTCGTCTCCCGCTCTCTGCCAGACATTTATTTACACTTTGTTCTCTTCTCTGTGGGCTCTGCCACAATCATGGCTCATTTTCATTCATTGCATTTTTTTGTTGCTGTTAATTTATTTGTTTTACATTATTTTTGTTTTCTGACTTACTTCTCTGCTTCGTTTTCATGCACACACACACACATAGGCTCTCTCACATAAACACACACTTTTTGTTGGGGCTGGATGCTCACTTTGCGGCCTATGGCGAAGTCAACGTTGAGAGTTTTGTTGTCGACAATTCTCTGCTGGGGGAGGTAGGGATTTTTTTATTGTTGTGGTTTCTTCTTCTTCCAGTTGCCGTTTGTCTAAGCCCTGCATGCACATTCATACAGACGCCTGCTTGTTTTATTTCTTTTTAAACATTAATAATGCGTGTGTTGCAATTGTTGTTATTATTTTCGCTTTCCACTGCAGACAGACAGACCGCCAAACAGCATATCTCGATGTTACTTGTAATTGCAATTGATAAACTCACACAGAAAATGAAATTAAAACAAAGTCAAGAGAGAAAATAAAACACCAACAATAAAGACTGTTTGACAAGCAGCGGCGCACTCCGCTGTCGTTCAGTTCTCGCTCCGCTGCTGCAATACAAAAAATTGTGCAAATTTTTTCGCGACCATTAAGTTTTTTTGCTTTGCTGTTTGTTGTCGTCGTTGTTGTTGTTGTTTCTCTTCTTTTATTCATGCATTCAATTTTTTTTCTTGTTTTTTGTATTTCTATTTTTATTCGTTTCGGCCGTCTTTCTTGTAAAGAAATCTCAATTCTTTTTCCACTGCTCTGAATTACAACAAAATCACTGCAAATTTTCTTTTAGGAAATGACTTTTCGAATGGAATTTCTTCTTTCAAATTTGCTCTCTTGTCACCCACAACACTATGACGACGGCGGCGGCACACACACTTCTTTAACTTAAAGATCTATTTGTTTAATGTTTTTTTTTCCTTTTTGTTGACTGATTTCCTTTTTGCAAAATATCAATCAAGTAACACTTTACTTTTTTTGTGTTTTCTTCTATAATTTTTTCTTCTATTTCTCAGCGACGGCGACGACGCCCGCACACATCACAATATCGACCGTAACAATAAATTAAGACTGAGAGACTGAGACAAACTAAACTGAAATCGCAAAAGTAAAGTTGCATTCGCAGAGCATCAACGCCACCACGAACTATAAGGCATGCAGTTTGCGTTTGATGTTGTTGCAAAAGCAGAGTCAAAGAGGAATGCAAAACAAAATAACATTGCAAAAGGTAAGCTTTTTTCTCAACGAAAACAAGCAGCTTTTCTTGGGCAAGTGTCAGTGTTGCCAATGTTTTGCCATTCATGTGGTGGTGGATGAGTGTTGCCAAGCACAGGCGACAAATGATTGTGTTTATTTCCTTGCGTTGAATGGATTTTGTGCAAAAAGTGAAGCTATAATTAATGGAAAATTGAATTTTAATAAAGTGTGCTTTATAACGGTTTTAACGTATACGTCTATACGGTGTAAATAAGCCAATTTGAACATGCAACGTGCAAAACACTTGGCTTGACATCTGTCAAGTATGGAATATAAAGCTCCCTGCATCAACACTTCATAGGTCTTTGGAGGAAGCCCCATTTCAGGAAATTACTGCCGTGGAGAAACATAAGGGTGAGAAAATATGCAATTTTTTTTCTTTTGGCATAAGTCATAAGTCGTTTTTTCGAAAAAGAATATTGGAATTAGGGTGACCTAGTTTAAAACATGAACTGCAAAACTGAACTAAGTCAACCTAAACAAAAAAAATTCAGATCAGAATAAAATTCTATGTCGATTTAACGATGTCCGTCTATCCGTCTGTGGAAGTCACTCTAGCTTCCGAACGAATTGAGGTAGATTGATAAAATTTTACTAAAATGTATTTTATGTCTGCAGGACTTTTGTTATCGGAAATTGGTCATATAGGCCCACGTTTTGGTTTAGCCCCCTTATAACGGCACCTTCCTATTTTCGGTATTTTGGTCATTTAAGTCACATTATTCACTGGAAATGTTTAAAATTTGGTATTTGAAGTTTGCAATGAATATAACAGCCTATGACAGAAAATTATCTGTGCACGTGCACGTTCACGTCTTCGTAAAGCTCTTATATAATGGTACCTCCCTATTTTCGGTATTTTGATGATTTTAGCGACATTATTCACCGGAATTGATTCAAATTTGATATTTGAAGTTCGTAATGGATACTACATTCTAAGACAGAAAATTTTCTGTGCAGGTCCACGTCTTTCTATAGCCTCATATAACGGTACCTCCCAATATTCGGTATTTTCATGATTTTATTTGAATTGTTTCAAATTTCGTGTTTGAAGATTTTAATAGGTACTGCAGTCTATTACAAAAAATTACTTATGCAGGTCCACGTCTTCTATAGTCGTAATTTAAAATTTAAATCATCATTTAAACAGTATTTTTAAAAATTTTTACAAAAAAAATTCCAAATGGTCGAAGGTATTAAAAGTTCAGCCCGGCCGAACTTAGCTGCTTTTTTACTTATTCAGTTATAAGTTCATTTATGCACAAAATTTGTCGATGGGTTAATGATGCTTAGAACTACCGATAGGCAAAGTGCTGTAAACTTTCTATGTATCTTTTATATAAAAATCTTCATAGTAAGCCAAACCATTTATGAACCGCCAGTCCAATAAACTTGAAGGTTGTGCACGATTGAAGCTAAACTCATTTCTCAAAAATTTGCAACCTTTCCTGCATGTAAGGTATAAAAATTGAGTTATTTTTTTCTGACTTTTGGATTAATTAGGAGATGTTTCAAAGTCATTTTTAATAATAAAAATAGCCTTTTTGACTTTGACATGCTGTAATTGTGTCTTCGAATACTTATGCACCTATTATTATTTTTAGTCCTTCTAGAACCACCAACTACAATATGACCAGAAAAATGTCAATTTAAAGTTATGTCCCAAATTAACAGAGAGACACATATATTTGTAAAAATGAGACAAGATGAATGTCACAAGAGCAACTCAATTTTTTACCAGAACATTATCGACAGCCATAAGAATATAAATATCAAATGATCACATACCACCTGAAGCAGCGACGACCAGCGATCTCCTGCAAGTCATAAATGATATGTTCGATTAACTAAATGTATAAAATAAATCATCTTCCAATTCCTATTATCAACCCATGCATGGAGGGTTTCGACTTAAGTAACTTAATTGTGAAGAGAAGAGCAAGATGTGTCGATGGAATAGTTCAGACAGTGAAAGGTATGTAACTAATTGCTGAAGAAGATTCGTGGACTGCAACGATGTTGACTACACACTCCATGGAAAGTTAAATCAGGATGCGTTGGAGAACGCCATCCCAAGATACCGAGCACAAGGAAACAACACACACCTCCCCTGTAAGGGAGTTAATGTTCTATATTACCCATTATACCTTTCAGAAGTTTTTAAAAAGCGCACACAGAAGCTCGGTAAAAGATTGCGAAACGGGTGATGTTAAATATTTGGATTGGTCAATATGCACTACCGAGAAACCCAATGCCATGCACTATGAACAAAGGAATGAAACGGAAATGTTATCAATGCTCAAGATTTTCCAAAGTGTTGAAAAAAATGAAGTAGAAATGAAGACCGAACGGTACGTGATTGGATTTACCATACTTAAAACGATCACAAATAAAATAATATGCCAGAAACGTCAAGCAGCTATAACAAATGCGACAGCAGCAGCTCAAACTGTTCACCAATTTAAAAAATTATAATCCTACTCATAAATTGGCCATTGTAAACCCTAATCAAGAAACCTTTATTGTATGTCAATTCATTATTTTTTGGTATAAAAATATATTTGAAAAATTTCCCCATACGCAACAAATCTAGGACATTCAATGTCATAATAAAGAAAATAAACGTCGTGTTTCCCTAGGTCCTTTCCGATGAGATATGTAAGTACTGACATATTGACACTTTATAACTTGTGTTAAAAAAAAAAAAAAAAATAGTTCACAACAATGATCTTCAATATTGGATAGCTGGGATACAAGGAAAAAAAGAGTGCTTATCAAATACAAAAAGAAAGAGACATCATCATTTGTATAGACAGACTGGCGTCAATTTATATGGTAAGCAACCTTTATGTGTATCCATATTTTTTTTCAAAATAATTCCAAATAGAATTTATTTTTTTAATATTGTATGTTTTGGCGTTCACCACATATCGTATTAAGAAAATATCGTATAATACATGTCTTCATTTCGTAAATATTGAGTTGTAACTAATGCGAAGATAATATGAAATCGTTCTCATTTGAAAATGACTCTGGCAACCCTGCTATTGTGTCAGAGCTTTTGACGTTTGATTTAAGTCCTTTTCGTCAAATTTTTTGTAGGGTGGCCAAATTTCATATTTATGAAATTTATAAGGATTTTTCATTAAAGATACTACAAAAGTCCAATATCAGAGGAACTGATTTAATAATTTCTTAATTTAAAAAAAATATAAATTAGTAAATCTGATCATTGCATGCTTTGAAAGTCTATTCGCAAACATGCTCACGTTTGTAGTTGCAAGTAGACTTTCATAGAAGATTTTCTTCTGACATAAGTCATCGCCTGGCTTTTTCGTAAATTAAAAAAGGTTTTATTTTGACCTGGCTAAATTTCTGTCTATAATTTCAACTAGGTCATCATAATTTCTTTGCTATTTTAGAAAAAGCCAGTCCTGACATGTGCTAGAAAAAAGATCCTACTATTATTCTCACAGTAAAAGACTAATACAGTGTTAATTTTTTCCGATTTCCATCGAAATTAAGCTATTTTTCTGATGGGGCAAATATTATATTCATGGATTTTGCAATGCTATAAATACTTTCAGCTTTGCGTGAGATGACAAAGATGAGCCATAACTGTGTTAATTTAAATGCGGAATTAAAAAAAAACCCTGACTTTGGCATGACAATGACGAACCCCAAAACAGCGACATCACCATAAAAGAAAACTAACCCAACAACGAAGAAGACGCACATCGAAGGATATTCGATTGCACGTACAAATTGCAATTAAATTGAAAGTAATTTGTCATTCAATATTAAGACATTGCCAGTCGCTGGATGGGTCTCTCCTTGCACTTTGTTGCTCTTGACCAAATAAATCTTGCATATCCTTTTTAGCGCTGGCAAACGTTATTTGTGCCACAACGCACAATGGCATGTCAAAGTGTCCATTTAGTGCTTTGGGGGTGGTAAGGGAGGGAGAGGGAGAGAAAAACATTGTTACTGCACCAAGATTTATATATTGGCTATAAATTACAGAAAAAAACTTACTTAAATATAAACTTAAGAACTGCAAGAAAAATAAAGGGGAGCTAATATTTTGGTTTTGGGAAGGGGCTCATAAAATTAAATTAGAACCCCAACTTACCTTGTGTTATTAAATTAGCTATTTAAGCCACTTGTTACCCACACTGAACTGCTATTGAGCGTTAGAAGGTAAAAGCCAGTGCGTCACTTATTGACAACTTCTCCCATTAACTAAGTAACGAGTCTTACAGCCAGCCAACTAACCACCTGCTGTGTCAAAAAGTGAAAGCATAGCTGTGTTCGGCATTCCTTTCCTGCATCATGCACACACACTGCAACCTCATTGCCAGGATTACAAGCTGGTGTTTTGAATGTCATCCACGCTGGCGTATGATGAACATTTTTAAAGAGAAATACAGGGGTATAACGAATTTGGTTTCAATCGAACTGTGGAACAGTGTTTTGTGGAGGATATTAAAGCTGAATGTGTTATTGCGGAAGGGAGAGGGATTTTCTTTGGAAAAGCAAAGGTTCAGTAGGTACTTTTTTGGAAGACAAATAGACCTCTAAAAAGCCAACGAGTCGTCTACCGGAAGACCAACACATCTTCTTTTAGATGGGCTTCTCAAGAATGACCACTATGTCAATATATCATTCAGACAAGCCAAAGTATGACATTAATTTCTGAACAAAATTACGCCATTCTGGGACAATTCACACCCCTCTGTAAGGGAGTTTTATCCTGTTAAAGCCCGTTATATTTTCCAGAAGTTCCTCAAATAAAAAAATTATAATCCTTATCAAAAATTGGGCCTTGTAAACCCTAATCAAGAAAACTTTATTGAATACCAATTTATTATTTAATTTTTTTTTTTTATTAAATATATTTCAAAAATTTTCCAACACGCAAAAAATCAGGACAT